TAATACACTCAACCAACTACACCGCCTTAGCCTCAAACCTGTCGACATCCGGCGGGTCTACTAAATCCCTCACATACCGTACAACGGTAACCTCACTCGCATTCATAAGCGCAAGATGCCTCTTCTTCTGCGCCTCGGCTTGCTCCTCAGTCCTCACCTTACCCGCACTCGCCGCAACCCTCTCGTCATATTCTTGCATGCGGGTCAAGCACGTCGCTGTTGTTTTGGTGAGTATGGATTGCATGGAAGCGAGTACTTTCTGGCAGGCGCGGGCGAGGGGGAGGTCGGTGGCGGAGACCGAGTCCGGGGAGCGCCAGCTGGGGGTGGAGTGGAGGGGGGAGTCGGGGGTTGAGGCTAAGTGGACGGCTTCGATGAGGCGGGGGATGGTGAGGGCGGCGAACATGTCGCCGGTGCCTGAGAAGAAGAGGGGGAGTTGGGGCGTGTCGATGCGGAAGAGGCGGGGTTTGTGGTCAGAGGTTGCGGTTGAGCCGATGATAGTTAGGTTTTCAATGTCGTCCGAGTCGGAGGTGAGAGGGGTTTGTTGGGACTTGGGGAGGTTCTCCCAGGTTGAGGGATGGGAGGTTGCTGCATCGTGGGCTTGGGTGTTTGAAGGGGTGTGGGTTCCTGTGCCGGCTTTTGATACTGGTCTCGAGGACACTGTTTGGTTGTCGCGGGTCAAGCGGAGCGATGTTATGATAACGTGTGGGACTTGGTATTTCGTGTGGAGTACCTGGATTGCAGCTGCGAGAGACTTGAGGTCGGTGATTGGAGTCTCAGAGAGTAGTCTGTAGGTCTTGTTAGCCGTGATTTCTATTGTGACCTTCCACGCGCACGCACTCGGCCTCGAACTGGTTGGGTAGGATCAGATCTGCCTCACGCAGCAATGCCTTGTACTCTGGTACCTCGTCCTCAGGTATGTATAGCTTGCCGTTGTCTCCCATGACCGGGTCAAGCACTGTCCTCGTCAGTCGTCGCTTCATACCATGTTGTTTAACATCCACCCACCCCAGAAGAAGCTGCCAGGCTTTGTACCCGCATTGAACTTGATATCCCTTCCAATCGTTCCTATCGCTTGTACGGCCTCGGCACTGGGCATATATCCTGTTAGGAGCACGTCGAAGTTGTTAAGGTTGGATTGGCGGAGGCCTTCGTAAAGCTCGAGAATCTCGCCAGCCGACGTTTTCGTGCCTTTGATTTGTTTATACGCCGTGTGATTGCCTGTTCGTTAGTCAGTTTGTACCCAAGACACCAACGACTGACACATACTGTAGTGTACGGTATTGATCGCAGAAACGTCGCACCCTAGTGACTGCATAACAAAGGTCGCCATCTTGTTGCCCACATAGCTTAGCTTGCAGTCAGTCGAATGCGCAATCCGTCGCAACATGCAACTCACCCGTGGACTACCTGTCGCATGTTAGCTACAAGCACCATAGCTTTGCGCCCATTCCTCTTACATGGCTGGCGATTGCGAGAACTCGCGTATCCGGAATCAGAGTGTCAGAAGCCATTTTCACAAGTAATAGTTGCAAGTAGTCAGGGCAAGAGGACGTATGCGCAGGTGGGGTATTTGTTCATGTACTATCGATTTCCGTATCTGAAATTCCGCGGGTATGACGCGACTCGCATGGTGGGGCGGCAACCTTCCTTTAGTTTCCAAAGCGCAGAACACCGCTTGCAGATGCCCATTCACGCCAGTGTCGCATGCCATAATCATGAAGCTATTAGACGCTCGACGCACATCAAAGCCATTGCGCCACTTATTCCCTACATCTATTCTGAAAACATGCCGCTCGTATGTCAATAAAATCGTGGTTCGTTTAGTCTTCGTCACCAATCTGTGCACGCTAGTTAGCATCATGATTGTGAAGCATGGAAAAAATATCTCTTACCTTGGGTGCGAGGTAAAACCTGAGGTAGCTTTGCTCTTGTAGGCCATACTCGACAAGCAGAGGGACTTCGCTGGACAGGCAGAGCTTGACCTGATCCGACAGGCCACTAGCCTTGCAGAAGTTGGTCAAATACTTGAGCGAGAAAGTAAGGGCAACAGGCTCGGTCATGTCGATCGTGACAGACTCGCCTGGCTTGTCTAAGCTGGGGTTTTGCTTGAGGATGACAGAGCCGGAGCCGATGTCACCAGAGCAGGCAAACTTGACACCGTCTTTTGAGCACTCAATTGAGACTAAATCCACGTTAGTTCTGCCAACAGTATTTACTCATGTCGTCACGAGTCACGTAGGACATACCTGACTCTGACAATGCACCCAAATCTCTGCAAATGCGCTGGAACTCGGCTGAGGGCATCGATATGGTCGCAGCATAGTCTGTGTCGGGGATACCAAGGTGCTCCTGGTCAATGTCCATAAGCTTGATATCGTACTCGCTAATTCGCGAGCTGGTCTTTGTCTCAAAGACAAGGTTGACAACGTCGGGAGCATCCTCGGCCTTGATAGTGAGGATGTCTTCGTTTCCAGCAGCACGGAGCACCTTTGTGAGCGAGCCCAGGTTGATACCAAGGGCAATGTTACGGTCGCAGCGGAAGGGCGAGAAGGCGTCCGACTTGAGCATCATGGACACGAGGGCGACGTGCGAGTTGTCCATGGCTTGGAGCGCAATGCCCATGTCATTGCAGTCGAAGTTGCAGTCTTGGACAAGGTCCTTGATAGCATCGACAACCTAGTACGCGGTTAGAAGGGCTTTTGACTTTTTTGACTAGGGAAACATACCTTCTTCAAGGTGTTTGCCTGTTCTAAGCGTGCCTCAAGCACTGCAAATTGTTAGCTTCGTTCAGTTGTCATGGGAAAAGAGACTTACTCTTGGATTTGGGATATGATTAGGTGAGAAGGTAGTGCTGGAGGGTATCGTAAACGTCGTGCAAGAAGACAAGTGCGCTCTGTTGTAGAAAGGCAACAATGGATGGAGGGGATCTCAACGCGGGAGCGCGTCAAACACACGCTAAAATATGCACAGATCACCGCATGTTAAAGAGCTGCCAAGAGTACTACGCACGCGATGAACAAACGTGGCAGCTGTCAGGAGAATGTTTAGATTCAAGGCACCATGGGTGCTTGCCATCGTTATTGCGGGAGACGCTATTCTAAGTAAGTCTTGAGTCAGTCATCTCAATGCGCAAAGTTATTGCAAACTGCACTCTATAAGTTCACAAGCTCAAACTGGTCACGTTTGAGATGAAGAATCTGAATGCTTGATTGGACGGGGTATCATGCTAAAGAAAGGCAAAATGCGGCGAGTGATATCATGAGGTATATCCTACTACAGGATGCGTCTCTCAAAGAGGTTCGTGAGGTCTTTTGTCCTCGAAGACAGCTCTGTTCTCTCCCACCCAGATGGGTTTCAAACTTGGACTTAGTTGACCTCTATCCCATTTGAGCATCTTCCTGGGCCGAACAAGTTGTTTTAAGCTACCTTCCACCTTTTTGCATCGTCGCAACCACGTATATCTTCTTCAACTTCTCGTACATTCCTGCATCCATCCCAAAGCTCTACGCCCGCACCAGGCCATAGAACAGTGTCCAAGTCAGCACAAAGCCGCTCAAACCCCCAAACACATCTCCCAACCACAAATCGCCCAGCGGACTGTAAAAGTATGCGCTAGGCTTGCCCTCCGTCTTCAGCGCAAACAGCAGCGCCGAGACGACTAGCGATGCGAGTAGGTAGAAAATGAAGCCAGCGTAGGATTCGAGGCCTAGTGTGCCAGCGGCGACGCCGAAGAGCGATGCGGTCAGACTTCGTATGTTGGAGATGACCTGTGGCGAGCGTAAGTCTGTGACTGTATCGTGCAGGGCAGAGGCGCAGCAGGATAGGCTATGTCGTATGCCAGGCGGCGGCAATGACACGGTGCCATGGCGATTGATAAGCGTACCTGGGTATTGTGCTGTACGCTGCTTGCAACGATTGGGTTGATGGCAAGCTCCCGCTCCTCGTTCAGCGCTGATGCAGCCATGATAGACAATGCGACTGGGGTGGTGTCGCGGAAGGACAAAGGTATGCTTGTAATCTCACGGACGCTCACGGACAAAATGGTGGTATGTCCGGCCGTATGCGCGTTTCGGCCGAAGAAAGGGTTTAAGCTTGGGCTCAACTGTGGCGGATATCGAGTGTTACAGATTTGTTGGGTGCTCTCAAACGACGGATTCTTGTTCCTTCTCCGATGCTAGGTATGGCCGTTGTGGTGGGATAGAGGGTGGGTTGCCGGAGTCGAGTGCTGGTAACGCCGGTGCTCCACAATTTGCCGTCTTGGTCCATGCAGGGGACCCTTGACCGTAGGGATGACTTCACAGCACTCCACTTCAACACTTCAACAATCTCAACACTGTCCAACGCGATCGTAAATGATTAAAGATGAGATTTCTGTTCTAGGTATACAAGATCTAGCAATATTGAGATGAAACTTTTGTGGTCTATATGCATACCTCCTCCACTACGCAGTTCCGACTTCAAGCATCGTCGTAAAGAAATCCGTAATCGTCAAGATACCTCAAGCAATTAGTCTCTGTCAATACCACAGGATACGTATACCTACTGGAGCATATGCAAAGGTAATAAATAGTTGTTGAGCCCCTTTGCTGTTCGGAGGTAAACCATAGCTTGTCGAAAATAAACATGATGGACCCTGGGCGACGTGACGTTGCCAATGCTCATGAATGCTTCGGCGGCCTTTGCGTAGTTAGCGTTTGGAAATCTGAGTGAAGGGAAGGGTACTTGCTGTCAAAAGCAAATGCCCAGTCAGTTCTCCTTTTTCTCTTACTGCATCCACGGCAGATTGGAGGTAGTCGATTGCTGGTACTAGTAATGCCCGTGCCTCAACATAATCTGCCCCATTTGTTCGCTCTTGAGTACCGAGTAGAGGTTGCATTGTAACTTGGGCTGGATAGGGACTGCTTTCTTCGTTGGGGTGAAGCTCATTTTCTGCTCGAGCAATGTTTGCCAGTGCTTTTTGCGCTCGTAACAGCCAATGCCGACCGATCACCGTGACTGTCAGCCAAGGGATATGAAGCTATGAGTTTAGCTTACAAGTCAGAATATCAGGGTCTTGAGGGTACAACGCCAGCAGCGTCAGCAATTGTCGTAAACACCAGTCCGCTATGTCCGGGATAGGGCCGTTATCCGCATCCGCGAATGCTACCCGCTGGACGACAGTGACCAAAGGCATTTGCCAACATTTCCGAGATTGTTCGGGGGTTGTATCAGAAATCTCAAACGAAATGGTGATGTTTCGGATGGCCGGCAGTTGATCTCGCCAGGAAGCAGGCGTAGTGTCGAGGTTTGTGTTCACTAGCTCGACAGTGGCCATGAGCATGTGGAGCATTTGGCTGTCCATAATGACGACTACGTAGACGGTGGGGTTGTCACCAAAAAGAAACCCCCAAGATGTTGTACACAGCGCTGAAGAGTGAATTTGCAAGGAAACACACTAAGAAAAGAAACTTGGAACTAATATATGCTGCAAGAAGAGGATGAGACGACTCAGAGGAAGCATATTCCACACTTGGGTTGGCCACATCTTGCAGAGATGGTGCTAGCAAAACCGGTGTTCAGCCTGCAGGATTGGACATGTTACCGGGGCTCATGGCTGTCGCCTTGTGGAAATAGTCGGATGGCGATGTGTCAGCCATATTGACGGGAGGGGATAAGGCCGGTTGTCCGGAATCTCCAGGAATGAGATCGAGGACGATGATGCAACATGTATCTTGCCATAGGTGCTTGGCCAAGGTGAGACTTGACGGGTGTAGTTCATTCATGGCAGCAAAAAGTGGCAAGCATGGTTTGTAAGCGGAGATGGCATAATCATAGCAAGGTGGTGGCAGCGTAGTCTCAGGGACATGACAGCACACCACAACGCAGTACCTGCATACAGCATGCAGCCCTATCTTATCGATTGTGTTATCGATTGAGCACAGGCGAGCTTGCATGCATGCGCGTCATTTCGCACGCAACCACCACGACTGCTCGCAGCGAGTACATAGGCCAGCCGACCAAGAGGAAAAGAAAACAGTCATGTACTCTTTGGGAATGCGAGTCGCGTACGTGCGGGGCCGGACCTTCGTACTCATCGGGAGTGGATTTCAGGCTATCCGAAAGGGACGCGTGGTCGCAGCGTCGGTAGGGCCGGCAAGCGGCATTAAGGGCGAAATGAGGCGTAGGAGGGTGAATTATTGTTTTGCATCCAAAACGAGAAGCCTGCGGCCTCAACGCTCACTCGAGTCGGGGACGAGGGAGGGCTTAGGGGGGCTAGGCAGTCTGAGCCTCAGGGTAACGCGCGCCTAGATAGGCGCATGAATGGATTGTAGACCAGGGTGTCACATGAAAAGCACGGCGGAGACGGCTAGAGGAAACGAAACCGCCCCGTGAACGGTCGAGCGGGCTGTCAGCCGGTTAGTCGCCAATCACAGGGGGCCCGTCTCCGCAAGCTGCTTCATTTCCCTTGACCGAATGGTAGAGCCAGTGTAACAAGTGTGTGGCTGTGGATGTGTGCATGTAATGTGTGTGT